CCTCTTACACTGCTGCATTTTTCCCCTTCGGCCAACTGATTGGCATCGGTGTGATCCGCGCCATGCTGTCCCGTGACGACGAGTGGTCATACCGCATTCCCTACGCTCTTCAATGGATGTGGCCTGTCCCCCTCATCATCGGCATCTTCCTCGCCCCTGAATCCCCATGGTGGCTTGCCCGCAAAGGCCGTCTCGAGGATGCCAAAAAGGCCCTGCTCCGCCTCACCAGCCTCGATCGCGAAACCGACTTCGACGCCGACGAGACCGTGGCCATGATGGTGCACACGACCGCGCTCGAAGAAAAAATCACCGCCGGTACCTCGTACCTCGACTGTTTCCGCGGCGTGGACCTGCGCCGCACCGAAATCGTATGCATGGCCTGGGCCATGCAGAATCTCAGCGGAAACGCCTTCTCAGGCTACTCGTCCTACTTTCTCCAGCAAGCCGGACTCCCACCCTCGACCTCGCTCGACTTTGCCATGGGCCAGTACGGCATCAACATGGCCGGCGTCTTCGGCGCCTGGTACCTGATGAAGCTGGGCCTGGGCCGACGCACGCTCTACCTCGGCGGTCTCTGCGGTCTCTGCGCCATGCTCTTCGTCATGGGCTTCCTCGGCCTCGTGCCCGAAGCCCAGCGGGACAAGGGCGCCATGGCCACGGGCGCCATCATGATTGTCTGGGCTATGTTCTACCAACTCACCGTCGGCACCGTCTGCTACTCGCTCGTCGCCGAACTGTCGTCGCGCCGACTAGCCATCAAGACGATTGTACTCGGCCGCAACCTCTACAACATCATCGGCATCATCACCTCCGTCCTCACCCCCTACATGCTCAACCCCGGCGCCTGGAACTGGGGCAACTACGCCGGCCTCTTTTGGGCCGGCTCCTGCTTCCTCAGTATCGTGTATAGCTACTTTCGGCTGCCGGAGCCAAAGGGCCGTACGTTTGCAGAGTTGGATCTCTTGTTTGAGAAGAGGGTTAGTGCGCGCAAGTTTGCAAAGGCAGAGGTCGATGTGTTTGAGCATGACACGCTTGAGGGGACAAAGGTTATGGAGCGCTATGAGGAGAAGGTCGAGGTTCGGCGGACTGAGTCGGTTGTTGAGTCTTAGGGGGGTTTTGGGGCTGGGTAGGCAAGGAAGGGGTGGGGTGGTTTCTTTGCGCGCGCCTGGAAATCTTGTTTTCTTTTCTCTTGTCCTGAGCCGCTGCGTTTTGTAGGGTGAGGTGGATTTGATGTGCTCGAGCAGCAGGCGAGAAAGTAAAAGAGAGAGATTTTGTAGATGTTACTCGGATGCCGTAACGAACACGAACTCGAATACACACAACAAACACCTTGATATCCGACTTGACTTCATTCCACCGTCTTTGAGCCTCTCAGCCCCCTCTAAATTATATGTTGGATGGAAACACAGCTCCAAACCAGAATATACCATGAAATACACACCAGGGCCAACCGAAACCGCAACTCCGAAATTCACACAAGCGACAT